CTAATAACCAGAATAGTTAAGCAGGGATACAGATTGAGGTAGATATTGTGTTCCCCAGAGACTGAAGTTATTCAAGAACCTAGAGAACTATCTATCATAGTGAAGTTGATTTTGCTTTGAGATGGGGAGGACATCATGCTCACCCCTTCCACTTTTGAAGTCTGTGTTGTATTCACTTGATGAAAATGGAATCAGGACAGTTTATACTGACATGTATTAATCATTTGTATCCAAGTCTTGTGGGTGCAGAGGGATAAAAAAAACAAAATGAAAACCTAATATTGCATAGTGTAGCGGTAGAACAACAAAAAAAGTTGGGTTTTAATAGCATATTATAGCATTAGCATATTTATAAGCTTGTAGTTGAAAGATCTGGTGGTGAATTAAAAGGTACTCAAGCTTTAGCATGAGTTTGGTATGCAGCAAACCCGTTTAGCTCTGGAGATGGATACCTGAAAGGCATTTAACACTTTTTTTCTTCCCCCCCCCCCCCCCCCCATTAACTCAGCCTGAAATTTTTTTTTTTTTTTGCGCGTTCTCAATTGTGAGTTAGAACCTGGAGAAAGAGGCAAGTTGCACAAATGGAAGGAGAAGAAATAAGAACTGTCTAGGTGATGCTAAAGCAGAAGATGGGGAGGGAGAGGAAATCTGAATGAATCTTATATGGATATTCAGATATACCGTTGAAAGCTGTATTTTTTCCTTTTCTGAAAATGAGAATAAGGCTTTTGGATAGTGGAGTTCAGACTAATTGTGTGAGTTCACAGGTTCTTAAAAGTAAAGTTACCAACAGCAAGACATAAAAGGGAAGTGTATCATCATTACTAGAAAAGTAAATAATGATAATTATTTCTTTTGAAAGGCAAGTGACAACAAAAGGAATTCACTATGAATGGTTCAGTTAATGGCTTTTCATGCCTCATTTATGACATTCTTTTCTATAAAACTACTGAAAGTATTGAAGTGCACAGTGCTGGAGGGACACATTGTTTTCTTGTAATGATTATTCTCATCTCTAGTTGATGAGTTTTTGTTCTCCAAGAAGCACAGAATTAGTATATACAGTGTTTAAATTATTTGACTTTAAAATATGTTTCATTGATGCAATCACTTCATGATTAGGCTGTAGATAGGACTATTGCTGAATTGTCTCCACCTATTTCTGATGGAATACAAAGTGCAAGCTATTCTATTTGAATGCTAGAAAAATCATATTCCTACATAACTGAACATCTTAAATTCCTTTGGTGTTTATTGCAGTAACATCCATCCTGTTAGTTGACCTAAGGCAATCATTAAACTGTGATGTTAATCCAAAGAAATTCCATACTAATGCAACATTCATTAATGCTTATTTGTGTATTATTATTACGTGTGTCATGTCTATAGTGGTGACACTTTGAAATGTCCACTATTATGAATGTATTAGAGATTTAATGTAACAGTCCTGGGTATAATGAATTTCATGTTTCAGGCTCATTTGCTATTACACAGCAGGTGTTCCTTTGTAGTTAACCATCTAAAGAGACAGTTTTAAGAATGAGTTATTTACATAAAAAATTGATGCTGATAAAGTAGAATATAAGCTCCATGCCATGTGGGATTTTTACAGTTGTACAAGTTGCGCTTCAGCTTACATAAAAATTCTTGGCAAGGTTCTAGTGGCAAAATGTTAATACCTTAGGTGTTCATTAAAATAACATTAATCATGAACTCTGATGATCACGTTGATTTATGCTGAAACTTTATAATTAAAATTAATCAGATTCTATAATTAGGTAGAGCAGGAAAATGGAATTTGGCCTTGTTACTTTATAATAGAACTATTAATTCACTTAAATGTTAGAACTTTTTTGAGAAATTTAATGAACATCTGCTTTTAAATATGGATCATACAGTCAAACTTGTATCTAATAAGAGGTTCATGTGCGTCTGTCTCTGTTGAAAAGTGTTTTGCAATACTTTGTTCGAAACATGATTATTTTTTCTTTTATAATGTGATGGTCTTCAGAAAGCTGAAAAAATATCCTGCTTTCTGGTGGGCTGAATCTTGATTTTAAGAAACCACCCTGAGGGAAATCTGATAAATAAACCTACAGGGTTTCAGATAATGTCTGTACTTTAGATGACTGGATGTTATTCAAGCTGCCTGGAAGTCATCAGTCTGTCATTATTAATTACGCGATAATCTTATTTCTCTGTCAAAAATGGAAGTGAAAAGAGTTACTATTACACTAGTCCTATCATTCCTACTAGAACAAAGAAAAGAGGCAGCTTTTCTTGTCAAAGTAAATTTACTTTCTGCAGGACTTGGGAATGTTACAAATTTATATGGCTTCGAGGAAGCCATGTACACATTCAGAGAGCAACTAGTAAGACACCACATTTAACTCAGTAAGTCCCTGACCTACAAATTGTCAGGGACTCTAGGGGTACTCTGGGGAAATACTGCTGTGTGCTTGCCCCATTCTTCACTCCTTTGTGTTTCATCTCTCAGCTGCTATTCTAGACAGGTTATCAAGCCTAGATGTACTTTTATTCTGAGAAAGTAAAACCATTGTTATATTAATTTACAGATACTGATGTCTTTACTGGTAAGATTTGCCTTCCAGAAGCCCAGGCCTCTGAGACCCATGCAAAAGTTTGGAGCAAAAAGATCTTCCCCTCGAGAGAGGAGGACCAGGTTTAGGGATCATGAGTTGAATTTTTCTTTCTTACCTGTTCAACAGACTATTTCTGCTAGACCAGTTGGGAACTAAATGCACCTGCTTCTATTTGCCACTATACATGATCACGTAATTTGTTTATATTAACCATCTTTGAGTACCGACATTGCTAATAAAGCAATTTCCAGAATTTATTACAGTTCTGTTGATACTGGAATCCTGGCTTTATTTTTCTAGCCAGTGGTGCTACCCTTGTAGTTTTGTTCTATCTTTTTTTTTTTTTCCTCCCCACTCACGTTACATTTTTTGCATGATTTCTGTTCTCTTGTCCAATCTGGGGATTGGGAATAACAGTAAGAGATAAAAAATGTCTTGAGAGAGACGGGGAGAACTGGAGTGGCTGTCAGTAAAGCAAGCTAGTACACAACTTCTGAGGCTAGTACATTTTCTGTTTGTATGTTGCCAAAAGAAGTTTGATATTTGCAACCTATTTCTGAAAGCTGTGAATACATATATATATGTGCGTTTTGTTTGTTTGTTAGTGGTAGTCCTCAGATTTTGATCAAAATCTCTCTGCAAATTTTGATCTCTTTTTAATTGAAACAGTCATTTGCTTTCTTGTATAGGTGTTATTTTGGTGTTTGTTATTTTTTTTCATATACTGTTTGGAGACATATGTGGTAATTTGTCACATTAATCATTAATCTTCATACATACCTTCTTCTCTAGATAGAACCTTGGTTCGGATACTTGTGCTCAGTTTCCTAATGGGTGTTTCAGCCCTGTAAATTGCTGTACAAGCCTGATCCTCTGATGGGTGGTGTGAATCGTTGCTTGTAGCTAGATTTATTTTTTTAAATTGTCTGTGTTTTTTTCTTTTTTTTTTTTTTTATTATTGACAGAGGTTATACTCTCTATCAGTTTGCATTTTGCAAGCATAATGAACTTGCCCAGCTTTTTGTTGGTAAAATGATCTACCAGGGTATGGTGGTGACACTTAACTGCAAGACTGAGATTGATGTGGTTGGCTGAGTCTATTTCTGGTTTATGTATCTTATTGCAAAGGGAAATTGTATTTGAAAGTGACCCTCTGTAAATAAATATTTGAACCCATAGGCTCAGCCTCCTTTTTTCTTGCTATCCTGTAGCTTAGAAGACTGGGGCTTTATTAGGGAATACTTCTTTATTTTGTCCACATAACTAGAGCATTTGCTATTTCTGTGCACTCTGTGTCACTGTTTAGGTGGCAGTAATCTGTTGGAAAGCAGGTGTACACACAGTAACATAGGACCTTAGGAGTGAAACTTTGTTTGGGTTATCTTAACCTAGACACTTTTCGTGATACGGATTTTTTAGGGAAGGTACCTACCTGCTACCTAATTTCTTGAAGACATCCATCTTGTTGAGAATAGCAGATTTTGTGTTGATGTAGTCCATTAAAAAAATGGTACCCATTTGTATGTATGGAAATGTATGTTTTAACACTCTAGATCTGGGGTGGGCATGTATTCCACCGCTCCCATGGGCCCTGGGGTGTTGTAGGCATCTTGCAGGGCACTGGCGTGGCCCCATGGGGTTACAGAGAGCCTGGCATTACAGATGCCTGGGAAGTTGGTTGTGGTGGTATAGCAGACCTCTGAGGTGCAGAATCGCTGCTACTTCTGTGAACCTGCTATTCTACCATTCATCTAGTGATATGCGGTCTTAAAGTACAAGTCTTCCAGGAGCAGTCGAAGACAAACCAGATTCATTAATGTATGATTCATTATTGAGGGAAAAAAAACCCAACCAAACAAACCAACAAACAAAGGGAGAAATTTTTGTGTGTACATAAAGATATACCCACTTGTGCTTGTTTAACCAGATACATCAAAAAGATTTTGAGTCTCTTGGCATAAGAAAATCTTCTATCATGTTCCTTAGCCTAAGTTCATTAGAGTGTCTTAACATTGAAAATATTCGTGTCGTACAGTTCTCCATAAATTAGATGTATATGGAGCCTTTGAACATTTGTTCATTTTAAGTAACTGCATCAGTGCCTGGACCACACTTGTGCACCAAAAATATTGGAGGGCAGTGGGTCAAGGTAAAGAATAGGAAAGACAGTGTAAGAATAACTGAAATAAACTTTTGGGAGGATGGTATTGGATCCTAACAGCTCAGGCCTTCTATTATGACCAGAATGCCTGAACATTAAACCTTAAAAACAACTTTGAAATGAAGCAGTTCACTTCTCCCTGAAGTACAAAAGTCACTTGACTCCAGAATGACAACTGCATTATTGGTTTCATTTTATAATTAGCAAAATGTATTTTCAAACTGTGCATAGTGAAATTCCAGCACTGTAAAAGATGACCAGAAATTCAAGAAACCATGTAGTAAAGAAATAAGAAACTGCAGTGTGGAGGTTTTAAGATGAGTCTTAGAAAGACAAGTAATGTTTTGAATAGCAAATAATTTATGCAAAATATGTTACAAAATCTAAGATGCTAAATAAATAACCAATACAATGTATTCTGTTTTGACACTTTTGTTTCCACTTAAAAGATAGTGAATGCAGATTCATTTGTTAACAATATTTTGAAGCTATTTTTCATTATATTTGCTATATATTTTGTACAAACAATTGAACTGTAATTTTAAATTTCAATCTTCCGCTTTGAAGCTACACGAAAATACGGTGGGATAAACATTCAGAAAAATAGATTTGTGGTTATATAATTCCTCTTTATTATAAAAAAGTTGCTTCACCATATGAAACTTTTTTCTCCTATATTTTGGAAGGTTTGTGTCCCCTTTTCTATTTCACCGAGTCAGCATGATATAATATGTTTCTAATTTCTGTAATCCTTTTTGATTACAACATGAGGGTAGTATTATAAAAGTTGTTCTCATACAGTATTGAGAAGTCTTGAAGATTTAAAAACAAAGAATGGGATATAAGAATGCTTCAATCCAGATATTAAATGGTAGACAAATAAGTAATGTAGTAATTGTTACAAACTTAATACTACATTTTTTTGTTTTGTATTTAAAGGTTTGGGGTTTTTTTCCTTAGCCTGATGTATCATAATGTTAAAGGATTAATAATCTTTAGCATTTGGTCCGAATGACTATATTTTTCAGCAGAGATTTCTTACTTTTGAATAACATTCTGGAAGTAGTATAACTCTGAGGGCTTGTTTCTGTTGCCACTCTGTCAGCAGCTGTCTTTGATAGAAGTAAGTTTTGGGCTCATTTGTGTTTAAGTAGAAATACAAATGTCTGATTTGACAGGCTATAGTTTCACAGCAGATTTTATACAGGCAGCTAGCTGCCTATTGACATGTCAGGTCCATATTGTCTTGCAGAACAGTGAGGCTTCACAAAATGTCAGTGTTGGCTGACAGTTTCATACATAAACATTGTTGTTAAAATATATATGTTTGTCATTACATTTTTCTGATTTAGAAATCAGGCTGTATTTCAAGGCAACAGGTAACTTTGAGAATTGGTAAATTTTGTTTTGATTTTCACTTATAGGAAAACTTGGCTATGTATTTCAAGAATTTCTTAGAAGTCTGAATAGTTACACCCTCTTTTTGGTTAATGCATTACTTCTCGAACCAGTAGATAAAATTCTACACATTAAACACGATAAAAACGGTGCATATTCTGCAAAGGACAGAATTTTTGATTAAAGTTTCTGGGCACAAAAGCAGTAACAAAATGATCCCTACAAAACAGAGTAACTTAATAACACAAGAAATAACTTTTGTTAATTTGAAACTTTAGAAACTGAAACTTGTAAGATGTAATTAAATTATGGTACTGTACATACCAGCTGTTCTTGGTATTTGAAACTTTACAATATGAAAAATACATTACATCTGTACAGTTTATACAGGTAGGTAGGATGAGTTTTGAAAAAGATTCACTTTAAGGGTCATACTCTGAAGTCAAAAAAATACTGCACAACTTAACTAATTACAAATTGTAGACTTGAAACAATTAATCTTTGTGATTCATTTTTAATTTGAACAGGGATCCTAGAATCCATAATATTATGTCTTCTCACTTCTGTCCATAATGTTACATAGAATTTGGTTGCAGCCTCTGCTACAGGAAAAAAAAACGACAAGAAACCCCGCACAGTTAAGCCAGCTGCTGACTGTGTTCCTTGATTCGTGCTGTTGTCGTTATTGTGCTCAGATCCAAATCAGTTTCTAGGTGTGTTTCCACTGTTTCTTCCTGGTTATTCGAGTCATAGGGCTTGTGAGCAAGCAGTTCATGATGGACTCCACAGTAACTTATCGTGGGCTGATCATAGGCAAGAAATGTTGACACATTCATAGACAGTGGTATCTAGGGGAAAAACAGAGATGAAAACCAGCCAGTTACCAAAAGACAGAATCAAATTATACTTGCCTGAATTTGATGCTAAGGAAACAGGCTGTCTAAAAACACTGGCTATTGCCAAATATAGTGCTGCATGTAAAAAACTCTTCCTTCTCTCTATCCCTCTACCCCCTCCACTCCACCCAAACCCTAGTTTTTACTAGGTTGTTTTAAACCTAACCACTACTGCCTCTGATCTTGTGTGCCAGGGTAGGTGTGTGATTGAATGTGTTTGGGAGCATTAAGATGTGATTGAACTCAAATTTTCTTTAGAAAATAATTAACCTCTGCTAAAATCAGTCTATCAGGGAGGAGAAAGAGGAGTAAGTCAGTTGGAGATATATGGAATATTTCAAATGAAATTTAAGTGGCTTTTTAAGTTTAAGAGTGATTAATGGATCTTGCTTGAATATGTCAGTGGGTGTCATACCTTTTGGTCTGCTGGGAAATACTCACAGATGACACATTTCCTATTATTTATTATAGCATAAGCATCAGTTTGAATCTAGAAGCTTTCAGTAAATATTGGACCATAGTAGATGATACCTCCATCCACTGTTATGCTATGGTATCTCTGGAAGCTTCACTATTGCAGGTTTAATTCAAATGGTTTAGGATGAAAAGTGATGTCAGTTTAAACCCAGACATCAGTGAGGCACCACATAGCCACTTGCTCAATTCTCCCCTCCCGTAGTGGGACAGGGAGGAAAAGTGGAAAAAAAGCAAACTATGTGGGTTGAGATACGAACAGTTGAATAATTGGAATAAAATAAAATATCCCACTACTACTAACTGTAATGAAAATATAACAAAAAGAGATAAATAAAACCCAAGACAGACAAGTGCTACATAATGCAATTGCTCACCACCTACTGACTGATGCCCAGACAGTCCCTGAGCAGCGATCCCATCCTTCTGGCCAGCTCCCCCCCAGTTTATATACTGATCATGACATCCTATGGTATGGAATAGCCCTTTGGCTAGTTCGGGTCAGCTCTTCTGGCCATGCTCCCTCCCAGCTTCTAGTGCACCTCCTCACTGGCAGAGCACAGGGGACTGAAAAATTCTTGACTTCGGATAAACACCACTTAGCCACAGCTAAAACATCAGTGTATTATCAACATTATTCTCAAACTAAATTGCAAAGACAGCACTGTACCAGCTACTAGGAGGAAAATTAACTCTATCCCAGCTGAAACCAGGACAAATTATTAATTTTTTTTAACTATTTCCTTGGTGATTTTGAACACACATCAGCATGGAATTATTTAAAATACGCTGTAGAATCAGAGGTGTCCTTAATATAGATTTTGAGTTGTAGGTATTTGTACTATTAGATTTATTTTTTTATATGTTAAAAGAATTGAAGGACGAAAAAGGTGACTGTATTGTAATGGCTTTATGAGTCATGCTTAAAGTATTTAAAAATCAGATTTCCAGTCCATTGTAAAACTAAAGAGAACAGCTTTTATTTGTGACTTTTATTGTTCTCTTGCTGTTGTTCTGAAGAGTGACTGAAATGCAATAAAACTAAATGTGAAGACAGGTAATATTTAAAAGCATTTTAATTTGAAATATGAAATAGTACGAAACAAAACTGTTTCTCATTAGCACTGCTCGTTGATGCATTTGCATGTCTCATCTGTACCTCTACATGCTTGTGACAGCATTTTAAACACTGCTCATATGCTATCCAAAACATGGAGATTGAAAAGTACAAGGAAATGGATGATTTTTCTGCCTACATATGAGATATTCATAGCTCATTAAGAGCTAAAAAACATCCAGTTTAGAAGATGGATGTATGTAACGTCATCTGATTATACTCTCTGAGAAGAATATTAGTTAAACCTCTGACAAAACTGTATCTTCATAGGATAGAAGCAGAAAACCAACGGAATGTATCTTTTTCTCTCCTGACTCTTGTATTTGAAAACTTAAGGTTAAAGACACTATACTGTATTGTCGGTGTCTGGTGATCTGTATCTCTTCACTCACAGAAATTGATGAGCTAGCTCTGCATTTCATGTAGCAACTTTGAGTGTTGTTTTTTTGTTACTGTATTTTGTTTGGTGTTTTTTTTTTCTTTTTCCCCCTCATGATGAAACACTGGATGAACACCTCGGCCTTTCTTAAACTAATGAAAAGACTTAACCTGAGGAGGAATTCTAACATTTTAAATACATGCAATAAGAAGAAATGCTCCACGTTTCCCCCCTTCATAAACACTTAACAGTATCTTTTCCTAAACTACTGAACATTCCCTTTTACAGCTCAAAATGTATTTCCTAACCTAATTTCATGAATGTGACACAATATTGGATCGTGTCACTGTGGGCATGAATTACTTTTGTGGACTGCAATGCAACAAATGTGTACTGTGTCGTGCAGCTTTGCTCTCATGGTAGACAAAAGGCTACAGTGCTACGCTACGTCCTCGTCATTGCTGTGATCGTGTCCAGAACCCTGGCCCCTATGCGATCTCAAATAGCAATTTCAATGCAATCAATACAGTTCTTAGATCCTACTATAAACACCACTGATCCCCTTTGTCCCATTGTGCCTTCAATTCCCATGATACTGTAGGGTAAAACCACCTCTGGTCTTCTTTGTGCCTAACCTAAAGATTGCCATAAATTCTGGAGATGGGATGTAAGCAAAGCCACTTCCATCCATTCATGTTTTGTTGGCCAGGCATATGTGCCTGAGAGATACAGAGTTTCCTGCTGAGTGAACCATCTTAGTAAACAGTGAGGCTAGAAGGCATGAGATGTCCCAAAGAGTGTACAAAAAGGAGAAGTGGCATAAAGGCTCTGGCTGTAGAGGGACTCATGTAGATGTGCTGGTACTTACTTTTTCTCTGCACACTCAGCTAATTTAGTCATATTTACATTGCCCTTTTTTTACAGGAGCAAAAGGTGGTGAATGTCTTTGAATCACTGTCTATTCAGACTTCCATGGAAACCAGACAAATTGTTGTACAATTTGGCTTCAGATATGCTGTTTCCCACATTTTGGTTGGAATAGTCAATCCAGAGATATTTAGTGGCACATCTATCAAAATGGAATATATGGGTTGACATGCTTTGTAGTAATTAAAATCTGTCTCTGTGTGCTTGGAATAAGAGCTGAGGCTTGCATCAATTTTTGGAAAAGGTTTGTGGTATGTTGGACTGGAAAAAGTGCGTGTGCATTATGATCTTAATGCCTTGTCATATTCTCAGTAGCTTTTTATCACATATTTTTTGTGCAGTGTATCTAAATTGCTGACATTTGATCATACTCTGTTTTCAGCAACATCAGTCTAGAAAGAAAGCAGAAGAGAGGAAAAAGGAGCACTTAAACTGCTTCAGACCTATATTCAGAAACAAGCTGATTATGGTTATGGCCTTGTTCTAATTTCTTTCTGATGCTGACATGATGGCCTTGCAGTAAAGCAGCTCTAGAGGAAGCTGGTTAGCAGTGTAAGAAGGCTAAGCAAACTCCATGTGCAGTTGCCATGAAATGTAGACAATTGCATACGAGTGTTTTTTCATGCATGCACAAACACATATAGGCCTGAGTGGGCAGCCACATAGGAGGAGATCTAAGGCCTAGCGTGAAACAGAGAACAACTTTTGCATTAATGACATTTTCCTTAGTCTGGTTAAGTTTCCATTCTTAAAAAAATTATCTCATGTGCTTCTCCACTGCTGAAGTGATGTATGAAATTATGTTGGCAATTCTACCTTACTCTGGGCAAATATGAACCAGGAATGATGGCACCCTTCAGAAGAATCTGCGCTGGTTCTCTTGTAACCAGGTCATTCATGTAGAATGCAAAATCTGCACCTTTTAGAAAACTAGTGATATTCAGACCTGTTATAAAATCTCCCAGATAGTTTATTCTGACCTACAACTTTGCTCTCGCTGCATGGTTTTCCCCTCCTTAGGTGTGTCCCATTCTGTCCCCATTTCCTGGAACAGTCAGGATCTGACCACCTGCCATGTTTTTAGTGTGTTTGGGGAAGGAGACTCCATGGTCACTCCAGTTCATACCGCAGCTCATTTGTAATCATCAGGTGAAGCTGCTACCAACTGCTGCTTTATTTCTGTCTGGGTGTGCTGGATCACTTTGGGCTTCTCGGGTTATAGACCTGGAACAGAGATGTCAACCCTCATGGCATGGTAATTAAACAAGGAACATCCCTGGTTTTATTTCCTCCTATGCATTTTTCCTTCTGGTAGTGGTATGTGTCTCAGTAAAAGTTCTATCTCTACAAAACTCCCATTTTTTGAACTTTTTAAAAAACTCAAATAAGTAATACAACAGCATTTGCTGTCAAAGAGATGAGAGCTACCATTACAATTCTGGAGTAAAATCCACTGCATTTTTTAATTGGTAGTGATGTGTGAACTTCATATGGTTTGGTGTTTAGGTCCAGATGAGCATCCAGAAAGCCTCGGTTTATCTCAGATTTACAGTTCAGAAGCCTTAAAATTGCAATTACTATTCAAGAAAGTATCTGTCTTGCATAGTATTAAATTTCTGTGCAGTATAGTGGGGAAAAAAGTTCCAGCAACCCTGTATTTTTTCAGTAAGGAAGTCTAAAACCCCAGACTTGTTTTACACAGAAAAAGTAGCTAAAAGGTTCCATTTACAAAACTGTATAGCAAACCAGAATCTTTTAAAAAATAATTCTGTTCAGTCCTGACAAGAATTTAATCCAATGTTTGTTTGTGGTTTGTTTTTTTTTTTTTTTAAATACGGGACTGAAAGTTTGGCTCTGGCTTGTCTCTAGCAATTACAGAGATCTGCAGGAAATAGGTTATTTTATCCAGACTGCAGAAGTATATTTACTATTAAACAGATGTGAACTGGTTGGGCAGGGGAACACTTATGGCTACAGATTAATATCTTGGCAGTCAGCAATGATGGGAAAGATTCTAGAAAAGACATACAGCATTTATTAAGCTTCTGGTGTTGT